TCGAGAGGGGAGAAAGCAGACCTCCCTGAAGAGCTGCAAATAACAAACGGTGCATCGATTTTCACGGAGGTTTTCGGTGCGGAGCGGAGAGAGAGAAGAGGGAGAGGAGAGTCTGTGGTTCAGGTTCAAGGTCGCTGGAAGGCAGCAGCAGCAGCAGCAGCAGCAGGAAGCGAGATACGTGTGCGTGCGAACGTGTACAGGCTGTGGTGTGAGAGGTGGACGAGGAGGATGGCCGGGTCGATGGTGGAAAATCTCTCTTTCTCCTTCCTCTCGCAGCATTCGACTCGATCCTCCTCTTCCGTTTCCCGGTACGACGATGGTGCAGCGCCACCTCGACTGCCTGCCAGCCACCCCTTTCGCGGCGCCTCGCGTCCTCGCCTGCTACTTTCTTCTCGATGAACCACAGTAGTGGATCGATCTCTTTCTCTCTTCATTTCTCCGCTCAGATTCGAACCATTGTAATCCCTTGTAGACATTTGACGGGGTACTTTCGACCATCCTATGGCTTCCTGTCGTCGTTAGATTCATCTTTATAAACGGATAACAACGTGTATTGTCATTTCATTCTCTAGATGTGTAATATCGATGGTTCCTTTCAGAAATACTACATGTATCTATCTGAACAGAATTGCTATGCAGTGACACCGTTTAGTATGATAATAGAGGTCAAGTTGTTGTAGCAGAGGAACCGAGTAAAGTTTCATGAATTTTTGATGGAACGAAAGTCTGGGAAGGTTAGAGAAACGTCGTGCAATTTAAATATAAATTCCTTCGATGAAATTACAGCCCGATTTACTATTGAATAATTCTTGTGTCAGTCACGATTATTGTCATTCGATAGGCGATTCACCAAAAACGTAACGTCGAATTGTTCCGGAAATAGAGGTAACCTTTTGGAACATCGGAATAAGTAGTTTGATCGGTCATAAATCATGTCGTGATGTCTGCCGACATTATAATTCATTACCCCGCAGCTGTGTGCCCGATGCGATCGATTAATAATGCATCCGACGATTTTCATTAGACCGAGAATTTCTCCCCGATCCTCGATAGCGATGCATCGACTCTTTTTTTTTTTTTTTCATACAGACACTCCTAGACTCGTCTCTTCCCTCGTTACAAATTCAACTGTCGTCGCAAGGCAAAGTAGATCGAAACGGAAAGGTAAATCGGCGAGAAAATCCGCGATGGGAGGAGGATCGAACGTGTGTATCGAGCGTGGATGGTCGATAAAAGCGTCACGAGCTCCAAGTTGCGCTGGTCCGGTTCGCGTTTCAGCCAGCTGTTGTCAGAGCTTTCTCTCTCTCCCTGGCGAGCGTCGCGACGCGCAACGCGCGACGCTCGCCTCCCCTCGTGTCATCCCTTCCCTCCTTCTTTCTCCCTCTTTCGTTCTATCCGGTCCGCGGAGGAGCCCCTACAGGGGGTAGATTTCACGGCCGACTGACACTTGTTGCATCCGCAGCATCGACCAATGGCCAGCTACTCTTCGATACACCCGTTTCTGGAACCATCCGAGGGGATGCTACGTTCTTTTTCAGCGCGATCAGCTATTTTCGATGAGCAATTAAGGGGATCCCCGGGAGAGGCGAGCGTGAACTCGGCAAACCTGGCTCTAACTATCGGATTTCTTTTAGTTAACGCGCTCGAGTCGATTCCAGCGATAGATCGCTGTGACCTATATATGCGTCGCTGGAAATGCACAGCGTTGTTTGGTACGAGTCACGCGTGTACAGGTGCAGACGTGTGTTTTGTTAGGCGAAACTGATAAGACGCGAACTTAACATTGCAAAATTATTGAAATTCTCCAAAAATTATTCAGTCTGATATAGTTTTTCTTTTATGTATGATATTAAGTTTAAACGGGAACACTTTCGGTGGGAAGATAATGGCTGTACTAATATTTATGTGCAGTGCTATCCATTAATCCTTTGGTTTGCAGTATCGAGTTACACCTACGGTGCACGTTACAGACGAGATGTGACAAAACTCTAACCTTCATACTCACTGGAAAAGAAAGCCAAAGAAGGCGTGAGACTTTAAATTAACCGTAATTATAACAAAAAAGGAAATTCATTCTTAATACCGCTATAGTAGGTGAAAACCGTTGCTCCGAAGTAAAGCGTGAAAACTGCGCCATTCCCAAAAAAATCCCCCGAGGAGAACTACCCTCTCCGTGACCTACCCCAACCCTATCCTTTAAATCACGCGTTTGAGAAGGCAGCAGCAAGTTCGGCGATCAGAAAGGGGAAGGGAAATCGCACAGGAGGCTGCTGCTGCCGGGTCTCGGGAGGAGAGATCGTGGAGAGAGAGAGAAAGGGTAAGCTATCGAAGGAAGGATCCATCTGGCCGCGACGTATGGGGTTGATATCGACCGGTCTCGGTGTTCCCCGCGGGCCACCCCTACGATGCGGCCACATCCCCTCCACTCACCGGGTTCTGCGGCTCTCTCTCTTTGTCTACCGGCTGGTGGCAGCCGCCTACCCTCTCCGTCAGTTTGGGTTTTCGGGCTGTAAGCACGAACGGAGCGTGTGCGGATGTCACTTCGGCCCGGGATGTCATGTCCGAGGCCACCGGTAATTCCTCCGCGAAGTCGTTCTTCCAACGGGCGTCGAGCAAGCTTTTACGCTGGTTTCGCCGCTCCCTGCGGACGAGCCACCAGGTGATCTCTCACACGGCTACAAACCAGTGTCTCTTGCACATCTCGCGCGATTAACCAGCTGATCCTTCACAATGGAACTACTGTCGTCACCTATTTCCGAAGGTCCTCGGCTTTCCGGGATGTGTGAAATTCTCCGAATTTAGTGGATTTTGTTACACTGTGTGACACCAACGTTTCTCCTCGTGACTCTTCCCCCTTTTTCGATGCTTCGAGTCATTTGCCCATCTTTCGAATTTTCCTTCGTGAATTTTTAACACGTTAACTACGACGGTCCGCAGCGTGACAACGCTTCGATCCCGAAGGATGTTGTCTCAAGGCTTGGGACTTTCTCGGGATGTGGAATTCTCTGAACCAGTGAATCTCGACATATCGTCGCGACGTTTCTTCTTTGCTTGAAAGGATCGTTCCATCTTACGATCCAACTCATCTGTGATGTGTTTCTACCCTCCTCTTCTCCCATCGTAACACGTTCCCCTCTCGCCTGATCAGATATTCTCAGTGTTCCAAGGACAGTCGATAATTGTTGCACTCCTCGGCTCGAGACGACCGCGTTTAGCTGCGATTGTGCCCGCGTGACGTAATTTCAGGCGCAACTCGCATCTCCGACGCTGAGGGACGCGTTTCACTTTCGCGATTTACGCAATGCGCGAAATGTATGTATCGGACTGAACGGTGTTGTGCGGCACCTTATCATCCGCTGACTCGACAACCGACCATTGACTTTGACGTTAGCGGTCGTTAATGACCAGGCTGTTTCTTCGCTGGCGGAACTCATTTCACGTTTCGCCTAGCGTTCATGCTCGTTCCAGCGTGCACTTTAAACTTGCATTATCTTAAAAGGGTTCGAGTGTAAAGCGAACGAAAGGAAGACGACCGAGATAGAGAGAGAGAGAGAGAGATAGAGGGAGTGGGACCAGATGCTGCAAATGAAACGTTCCAGTGAAAGGGGATTTAGTTCTGCAATTCGATTACTATCGCAGTTCCGGTCCTGAAAGTAATAGACTTCGATCTATTATAGTCAACAACCAGTTCGTATCTGTTCGTGTGACCAAGAAATGATTCTTCTCATTGCGTTTAGAATTTCGAACGAATAAGTAAGTGGAAGTGTTGTTTATTAACGACTCATGACAGAGAACAACGTAATTTCTCGATGATCTGTTCGTTTTTCGCGTAAGTTGTCTACTTGCTTGATCTTTTTAGAAGTAGAACGTAGAAGACGTTGGAAATGAATAGAGGGGCAGTTCTCTTTCTTTCGTCTCTTGTTTTCTTTTTTCTTTTTTTAGAAATTTCAGCTCGACGACATTAATCGATCGTGAACGGGTTTCTTTGCTTGGCTTTAAGGGGGGGAAAAAAGAATTTGTCTCCAGTAGAAGGAGGGTCTTTGACACGAAACAGTTTCGTAACCCTCGTGGACGAGGGATGAACTCGAGTGCATCGTTTATTGGGGCATTCGCTTGAAAAAACTTGAATCTAAGGCTTTTCACGGTTTCGCCTAAACCGGATTTCGAACTTGGCCAGCCCGTTATTTGCGTAAATTGGTAGAAAAAAAGATTTCTTTTTCCTGATATCCCGCTTTTATCGAGAATAATATCGTTTTACGATACGTGCGTTTGCTGTGCATGCCATCGTAAATAGAATGTTCTTCTTTTTTTCTTATTTAGCTCATGGTTCCTGTTCGTTTGTAAGCTTGACCGAACGAAACAATTTTCTCTTTTTCCTTTTTTCCAGGCCTCGCGATATGTAAATTGGATGATTGTGAAATTGGCCGACTACTCGAGACGATTAGCACGATAAAATTGGTGGTCACTTTACTCCTCCGTCTATAACGCTCGTTCTAATGTAGTTTAGCGGTGAAAAGTGTAGCGCGCTTATGGTATTAAGTCCGTCGAGAGAGTAAACGTTCGTTGCTCGAAGGTGTCGGAGGGTCTCACCTTCGGAATAGATCGATATTATGCAACTGCCTATAATAATGCTAACGTTGGGATAGCCGCACGTGCGATGTAATAGACTCGTTAAGAAAGAAAAAAGAAAAAATATGTCGACAGGAAGTTAATTGAAATTTGATGAAAATTAACAAGCGTCTCGTACGATCGATTAGATAATCCCAAGCGTCACCTTCTTACGATCCAAATTAAAATTGCAAAGTTGAAACTTTTTTATTTATCGAAATTTCTCTTTCATCGACGAATCTCACCTTGGAAAATGACAAAATTGAAAATTGCCTCGTTCGAAAAGAACTGCTAAAGCGTTGTTAAAAAATACGAACAAAAAGAAAGAAAGTGGAATGGATATATTTCTCGTGATGATTTCTTTTTTAAACGTACATTTGTTTGTGCATTAGGTCGACGGTCATGGCGCGGAAACGGGACCGGAACTCGACGAGGAGATGGAGAAGGTTTTCGCGATGGACACCGGGGAGAAGTTCGACGTAGCCCGGCTAGGTTCACCTTGCGAATCGTCTGGATCAGATCGAGATCGAGGACCACCACCGCGATATGGAGATCGCGACTTCAATCGTACGTCGAAATGTCCCTCTTCCCTCTCTCCTTTTCTCTTTTTTTTTTATCATCATCTCTTCTATCCTCGTTCGCGCGGACATTTTACGAGCAATGAAAAGCTGTTGCACGTAATTCAAAAGGACGATAATTCATCGTCTCGCCGAGACCCCTCTTCCCACCTTCAACCGGTCCTGAGAACAGAAAAAATGATTACGTAAATGAATTTTTTCATACGAATCAAGGTTGAAACAATTCCTCTTTCTGACATGCCGCCGCGACACATTACTTCATTTCTTTACATAATATTGCGATACAGAGTAGAATTCAACTGTGTTTTTTTTTTTTACCTTGCGAAAAAGAACAACTTGACGTTGTCAGAATTACGCGGCCCGTTTAATCGTAATTCTCTCTGTTCGCGACGACGTTGAGATAAAACTTGGTTCTCCCAATTCTCGTTTTGCAGAGCACCGAAAAAGAAGTTATCCTCATCCGCATATGCCCCTGAAAAGCCTACATTCCAGATCTATGCGACGACATTTCTCACCGTGAGTTTCTTTTTTTTTTCCAAACAAAACCTCTCGACGAAAATAAGATAAAAGTAATCAAGCGATTAAATTGATACTTGGACGGAGATACCGCGGAAAAGGGAAGAAGAGAAAAAGAGTGGGTGTGCTTACAGCGAAGGATCCACAACGGAAGTAGGCCAAGAAGAGGAGAATGGGCAGGTTCAGACCGGAAATGGCGGTGGATTGGAAGCGGACGCAATGGACAACGGATTGTCCTCGACCACGATGCAACACGCCGACGATGAGAACGCGGAGGAGGCGGAGATGGTGGTCAGCAGCGAGAACGAGGCGCCGATCTCAGAAAGGGCTGCTTCCGGTTCCAGCGACAGCCCTACTGTCGGCAGCCCGCGAGTCCAATTCGAGATGATCAAAGAGGAAGATGTGCCTTCCTTCAAGGATGAGGTAATACCCAGTGTCGGTGTGTCACCTCTCCACGACGAAGATAGAAAGTGTCGAAGGCATCAGAAACACGAGCACAAGTAAGTCCCCCGCTTTTTTTTGTCGTCTCGAAAATACACCGAAACGATTTATCATTATCGCCTTTTATTTGCCAAATAGTAATTGTTTTGCTAATCGAAATTATTTTTTTATCAATTTCGATTCTTTGCAAATGAAAAGTCTCTCTCTCTCTCTCTATCAATTTCAATTCTTTGCAAATTAAAACTCTTTCCTTATCAATCTCGATTCTTTGCAAATGAAAATTCTTTCTTTATCAATTTTAATTCTTTAAAAATCACTTTATTTCTTTGTTCTCGCATTGAACGCACTCATTGTGCTACCTGAGGATTGAACGTAATCCTTGCAGCTTTTAATTTTTCACATTTTTAGTTATTTCACTAAATTATCAGTACACCAGTTCCTCGAGTGTTTAATTCGACAAATTTCCTATAAAATTTCAAAGATTTCAGTTTTCGTTGCAAAACTCCTCTCAGCATTTTAGCAAGTGTTTCCTAAAAGAGTTACGATGACATAATTCGAATTAAAACATGTACGACTCGAAGAACAGTCGCTTCGATAATGAGCAGCACAATTAAAGGTAAAGTAGCAGGAATTCATTTCGCAGAAAGAAGATCCGAGAAGAATCGACAAAAGTGGTCAATTAACGTTATTGAAAAGAATTCATGCTAATAACGTCGACCTTGCCACACTAACGACAGGTTAAAACGTTCTTCGGCTAATTTTCGTACGACACGAAAATTCCTCTCCTTCGCCCGGTTTATCCATTCGTATTCCAGCAATTACCTACACGAAGGCATCGATCGAGAACACGAAGACCTGTATCGCGTCGCGAACAGACATAAGCGACGATTTTAATATCCGGGTGACGAGGCTGGTTAACGCGAAGAGTTACGTATTTCTACTACCCTGTGGATGACACCGCGCGGGCCGAATAAATGTTTCATTGGCATCCTATTTCCGTGTTCTCGAGGAGCTCATACGCAGCTGTGCTCGTGTCTAAATATTGCGAGAATTTATTTTCTACAGTCTCTCTCTGCTACGTAACTCTTTTAGCCTTTTCCGCGAGAAAAAACGAAATCTTCGATTCGTTTGGCTTCGATCCTTATCCTCTCGAAGAACTTTTTTTTTTTTTTCATTCTTCTACGGTTAATCGTGGAGAAGTGTGAAGTAGAAATGTTTTGTAATTTACTATTTACGCGGAACGTGTAGATTTGGACGAAGCAGCAGCGCTCTCCCCCGAAAGAGCAGTGTGTGTTAGATAATTGTAGGATGTTTAGCGGAAGGGATTGCGAACCAGTTTGCAATTACTGTCTAATGTCATGGCCTTCGGCCAGAGATTTACGCTACGTTTGCGAGCGCACCAAACAGTCTGTTGCTCGAGGCCACTGTCTTCGCCACTGTTCTTCTAATTAGTTTGCCTCGCCGCACGCGTCCTCTCTTCCTCGGTGATCGTTGTGCCACAGATGTGACAAACCTCTTCCACCTTTCTTCTCACGAACATGTCAGAGCGTTACGACTACCGTGAAGACCGCTACGCCATCGACATCGCTCGTATCAACGCCAGAAAGTATATAGACCTTTTTCCATTTCTCACGAATTCCGTTTTACGAACGAACAGAGATTCACATGAGAACATTCTTTGTCAACGTTCTTTTATTCTTGCACTTTGCAGAGAAAGACAGAAAACGAAAAACGAACACTTTACACTAGAAAAACATTCACGTGCTTCTCATGCGAAGATCAGCTGATTTTCTGTCATTCGTCTGGTCTTAAACGAAAATCTCACGCAACCCAACCACCCATCTGATTTTCATCGATGACAAGCTAAACTGACTGCCAGCGCTAGGCACCAAAACAGTTCTGGCACTTGTACGCATACTTCGTGTCAACAATGTCGCTATAATTCGTGCCACTTCGCTGATCCCCACGTCAAGTCGTAAATCATCAGTGTCCAAACTTACTAAAACAATTCTAACGTTTTACCTCTTGTCTAACTACATATACATATATACACGATAACTAACGATAGAAACTAACAAAACGATCAACTGTCCTTTACAGAAGACATCATCACAAGTCGCGCAAGTACTCGCTCCAGGAAGATCCACAATGGCGAAAACGATCGGGAGCTGGTCTCCCGGATGGAACAGGTGTGTTAACGAGAAGGGTAAGCGTGCAACCGGAAGAGGCAAGCACGTTGCAGGAGCTGGACATCGACGATCTGGAGTCGCACAGAAGCGACGATCCGCGAGGAATGAGACGTCACAAAGCAGCTCATTCTACGGTGCAAATCGGTCGGAAGAAAGAGGGTGGAATACCTCACGACACCTTCAAAAAGATGTACGATCATTCACCTCACGAGGTGTTCGTGCAATTGGACGAATTGTACGGGATCGGGGAGGAACGTGAATGGAAAGAGACTGCTCGATGGATCAAATACGAAGAGGACGTGGAAGAAGGCGCGGATAGATGGGGCAGGCCTCATGTAGCCTCTTTAAGTTTCCACTCTCTGTTGAATCTTCGTAGATGCCTAGAGACAGGTGTCGTTCTCCTCGATCTCGAGGAAAGGGATCTGCCTGGATTGGCGTACAGGGTGGTTGAACAAATGGTGATCGAAGAGTTGATTCTACCTGACGACAGACCGGTAGTGATGAGAGCTTTGTTACTAAGGCACAGACATGTGCACGATCACGATCGTGGATTCAGATTCGGAGGGAAGAGGAACTACTCTAGCTATACTAGTTTACAGGTAATTGTCTCACGTTTCAGAGATAACGCCGCTTCGTTTTTTAACGTCATACTTGTGTGAGCTGCTCGAGCACAGTCGCTGTTATAACAGATACGTGATATGAATGTGCTATATCTCATTCTCGGTTAATCGAATAACGCGTTTAGGCTCTCTAAGCACCGAGTTCCCCGAGATTAATTCCGCACACTCTTAACCGCACTGACATTTTTAATACAAAGAGAAAACACTTTGAGCTTTTCTCCACTTTTCAACGTTCATTAGAATAACCAACGACGACGATATATGTATGACAAATATTTGGTAGAACAAATTTATTCGTGAGAAATAATCAATAGAAATCCGTAGAGACGGGAGGCCTGACTGACGGTGTGTCCTAATGTTGTTTCCACAGTCCGTCTGTATGGAGGAAGAAGACGCTGCGCGGGAAGCCTCTGAGAACCATGTAACCCAACATGTAAATCTCTCGTTTCCCGATCTAAAACAAAAATATACGCAGAATTCTTTTCAACCTTTACCGCTAGTTTTTTACGGCTTGCCCACCATCGTATATCGAATATACCGCATTAACATTTT